TTTTTTTGCAATTTGTGCAAGCTTTTAAACTTTTATTATTGTGGTTTCTGTTATAGGTCAAATTATATTTTAAATGAAAATTATTAAAAATAAATAAACATAATTTGCAAACAATATCATTTTGAATTTCGTTGCTAATTTGTTGATCAGATCTGCATATATATTTAAGGAAAATTTTACCTTGTAGTCAAATCGATTATTATCTTTCGAGTGTCGTGTGTCCCTCGGCTCCCTTTCGTCTCGATGGTCACGTACAACGTCACGACTATCTCGTCTGTTATCACGGTTGTCACGCTGTTTGTCGCGGCTAGGCAATGCAGACGATGTAGACCTACTGGCGCTACCATAGGAAGCCTTCTGCCTTTGTGAATCCTGTAATATAAATGTTAGTACAAAGCACTGTAATATTAATATTTTGCCGAAGTATCTCTTTTTAATGTTATTTTTAATATAATTCTAAGCTTAAATATATCCACTTGATATCAGTTAAGTTTTACCCATTCCCATCGAAATTTTTAGGTATGTCGATTTTGTAAATAACTTTTCAAAATGTTTATATAATTAATCTAAAACCTGTAAGAAATAAATTACTGTTTCTTTTTGTTAATTTGGGTATACTCACGTTCAATTACAGCGCAACTCCTACACAGTAAAGTTACATATGTAAGTGTGTAATAGGAACACACATAGAAAAAGTCTCCTTCGAATTTTTATCGCATTCCTATAAAAAATGTTAAGGTTTTTTTTTCTTTCTGGTGCAAAATTTTTAAGTTACACTTTTTATTTGTGCGCTCCATTCAGGTCGCCGGTCTTTATATATCTTTTGACGGATAACCAAACCAGGGCTGGCGCTGGCTTGATTTATAGTTACGTAGGTGTGCGCACGTAGAGATGCAGATAGTAACTTTTCGACTTTTTATATATAACAATAACAACAAAAGTGGATAGTTTATTAATAAAAAAATTTCAATAAAAAAGTAAAGCTATGTATTTACAAAAAATAATGATAGAAATGCCTAACGAATAGCGAAACTTATTATATATTAAATAATTTGGAAAAGCTTATAGATCCTAAATAAATACGCGATGATAAATACGTAAACAATAAAAAGGCTTTTCCATTAAATTTTATTGATTTTCTTTAACTAGCAAACTTTCTCTAGTTCTATAAGTTTGCCTTTCGAATAGCGGTTAAGGAATTCACAAAGATTGTAAAGTTCAGATTTAAAATTTGGACAAAAAACATATGTATATACTCATAAAATATTTTTTCAAAACGAACAAGGTCTATTTCTAATTTTTCTGTTCTCACGAAGAAAATTAGTGCCCGATTTTAAAATACAAAATTGGTTTACCGCAATATTAAGGATAAAAAAGGCTTACATATAAACGAAGTACAAACGCAGAAACACCACAAAAAGTATACAAAACCACTTATTTCTATATATGTATGATAAAGCTACAAATTTTTTTACCTCATCTCTGCGTGCAGTAGGTGTGCCGCGTGCACTACCGCCACCACTGCCATCGCGCATCATGCTCGAGTCCATGCCATAGGAACGCCGTGATTTTCCAGGGCTACGCCCGCCGCTTGCGCGTTCAGCCTAAAGGAATTTGGCAACTAGTCATAAACAGCAAACTATGTTATTTTCTTTGAACTTAATATATTGCTAATTAACTGATATAGTATATCATAAACTACATTTTCTTCAAATCTACTATGTATATCGCGAAAAGGACGTATACATACAGAATAACACATTTTTCATCGACGCCATTTTTTATATTCTCATTAAGTGCTATTTTAATTAAATCGCCAGCGTATTATATGCATAATCATTTATAAACTTACTGTTATACGATCCATCGTCTCCTCCTGCTCGTCTTCGCTGCTATAATTAACAAGTCCTTCCATGAATGGGATTAAAAAATTGCAGAAGCGAATCCGCAATTTTCCTAATTTACGAGCTGAATATATGATTGACAATTTGTTGGTAATCGAAATCGATAATTCAGTACTGTTCGTTTATTTTTTCACGCGTAGTATTACCAGTCTTTTCCACATTTTACCTTTTTTTAGTAAGCTTCCTGCTCTTCCTCTTTCCTGATGAACAGCTAGAAGGTAGCTGAGGTGCGGTTAAACGTGGCAATGCAAGCACTTTTTCTACGCTTTTCCGTCAAAATGCGTGTAAACAGCAAGAACCCCCTGTATGCATATTTTCAGAAATCCCTTTCGGAAATAAAAATTGCAAAGTGTAACGGTGCGGTTAAATGAAGCAATGCAATCGCTTTTTCTACGCTGCGATATCTACTTTCCCATGTAAACAGCCAGAAAGTCCTTTTTGCAGATTTGCAGAAATCACTTTCGTAAATAAAAATTGCAAGGCGTAACTGTAACTTAAGGTGCGGTTAAACGTGGCAATGCAAGCGCTGTTTCTATACATTTCTCTGTAAAAATGCGACATCGGAATTCTACTTACGCGTGTAAACATGGTCCGTTAATTCGCATTATGCGTAAAGAACATCATCTTTCAGCAAAATTTGCAAGATGTAGTCGAAAAAAGAGTTTCTGCTGGAAAATCACCCAAATCACACTTCACATGTTCCCAAAGACTGGGTACAAAAGATGAACATTTGCTAATTTGAAATGGCCTCCACAATCCGAGGACATGAATCTCATCGAAAATTTGTGGAATAAACTTAAAGCACAGCTTACCAAGTATCCTAGTCAGCCCAATGAAGAACATGAGCTGTGAAAGGAAACTGAGGATATATGGGAGGCTATACCTTCAGAATTTTTGAAGAGATACAGATCTAGTATGCCAAATCGCACCCAGTAACTAAAACAAAGGAAAAATATACTGAACATCGTGTTAATAATTCTTTTTTTTTCGAGAAAATTGTCAAAAAGTTTCTAAAAATATATGAGTGCTAAACGGTAACGTTTGCCTTAATTTACATTTCTGTCTGCTAGTTTTATTATTTTTGTTGGATTGACTTCAAATCGTTATGAGATAGGGAGTACAGGTGTGCCAATAAGAATATACAACAAAAGTCTGAAAGTCGCTAGAACTTGGAAAGATGGCGATGGCTGAAATAAAGAGTTTCACACTATGTTACAGTTTTGCCCGTCACTGTACTTAAAATTAATCTGGTCGATTCATGAACGAACGACACAAGATCACGCAAAGACAAGAGATTGAAAAAAGTAGACTTTTTGAGTGAGTTCTAGGGCATCTTGTTCGTTTCGTTTCTCTTGAAACTTTCTTGCTGTTGCTGAGAAGACGAAAGAAAAGCAAACAAAGCAAAGAAAACAACGAAATCCAAAATTAACAAAAAACAAATTTTTTTTGTTTTTATTTGAGTTGCTCTGAAATTTTTATAAAGTAGACAAACTTAAAAAAAAAAATGATGGCCGACGTATTGGGCGAGCGGTTTCACCTTTAAATATTTGTATAATGCAGAAAACTAGCAGAAACTAGCAGTTCTCTCTCGTTCTTACGATCTTGTCTTTATGGCTTTCCCGCTGATTTCCGCTATTAAAATTTTTACCAGCAGAAACTAGCAGCTGTCAAAATGAATAAACAAAAATTCCCACCAAATATTTTCAGATGTCAGCTGTTTGCGTTTTTTTACCGTTTCCTTATTTCGCTCTCTGTGAGCGTAATTCTCTCAATTTTCGCATTCTTTTCTTCCTGATAATTATCGCTAGAAAAGAATAAAACCAAGCTAATGTGTTTTCCCTAGTAATGGCAAAAAAATTAATAATCGATTAATTGATTAATCAAAAGCAATTGCAATTAATCGTAAGAAATTAACCGATTAATCGGTAGTTTCGATTAAAATCAAAAATTATAACCATTTTCATAAGTTAAAAAAATTGACCGTTTTACATACATTTCTTGTTAAATTGTGGAAGCCTGCGCCATGAATTCAGTGCGCAAACAATCAATAAAGCTAAAGACGAAGGGAAACAATAAATAAAAAGATGTAAAGTAGTATACCATCCGTTCTAAACCCTGTGTCAAAATTATAAGCGCACCACAAGAATTTTTTGTTTAAATTTTAGTTATTTTTTTTTAAACACAGCTTATTTTTTAGCAAAAACCGTATAAATATAAATATATCAAACTTTGTGCAATAAATAAACGAAATTCACCAAAAAATTCGAGCATTAAATTTTTGTACAAAAAAATGCAAGATTAAAATATCACTTACCGTTGATTTTTGGCAATTTTTTAACGGTGATGCTTATTTTCTTCCATACCCGTATGGAAGTAAATGCGCAACACCGCATTTGAAAAATAAAATGAAAATATGTGGATAACTGCGTTGTGATTTTTTAGTTATTACTTAAGTTAAACTTGTGTTGCGGTTTTTTAAAAAAATATCGTTTAAAAAATTTGCAGAATACGATAATGTAAAATATCTCCCAAGTAGTAAAAGTATACATATATATGTATCGAGTAGAGTGGACACTTTTATTGCTGCTAATATTATTGAGTGGATTCATACGTTATTGTGCGTTGTGTGATACCTGTGTTTTTTTGTTTAGTTTTTACATACAGGCCTATTCTGCTTGTAACCGAACATTTTGTAACAAGCTAATTTTGTTACCAACAATTGTCACCACTTCTTGTAACCGCAATTCTATTTACCTTGGTAACGTTTTAATTTACTCAGCAATTCAGCTATGGAGTTTTTTACCGGTTACAAAAGTGTGGAGAATACGAAAAGGGTTTAAGAATTGACAGTAACTTTACTAACCGGTAACAAAATTTTTGTTACCAACGCAGAATAAGCCTGTTAGGTTAAACTTGTGTTGCGGTTTTTTACACTAGGGCTATTCGCGATTCGGAGCATAAGAGCTGACAAATTTCTGCAATTGCAGAAATATGCCATGGATTGTGAGCGACCTTTATTAAACTGTCATAGTAAAACTTTTTTAATCAGTTGATAGAAATGTCAACCAGAGTTGCAATGCATAGCATATTTATGCTATTGATTTTCGGTATTTCAAATTTGTCAAGCCATGACAAGTGCAAATGCATGTACTTTGTTCGTGTATTGCAAATAATTTGCAATACAAATTTGCAATGCTATGATGATAGGCCATTTGCACGGGATCGCGAAAAGCCCTACTTTTATTGTAGCTAATATTACTGAGTGGTAAGAATGCCAATTTTGTTACGGAATTTTGATTCATTGGCGCATATTCATAGTCATATTTAGTACTCAACTAAGTCGAAACTATTCTAAGTCACAACTAAGGGCCGGTTGTTCAATGTCTGGTTATCACTACCACTACACTATCGACGATTTCGAAATCATGCATGTAACATGTGATCGATAAAGCAGTAGTTGTGCTTAACCGGAGCTTCTACCTCCGATTTGTGCTAATCAGACATTGAACAACCGGCCCTAAAGCTATTCATAGTCGCCTTAGTTTCGACTTTTCTGGCTAAGTACCAACTTAAAATTTAGTTTCGGCTGCAGCTACAACTAAGTCGTAACTAGAAAGAAGTATTATATCAAATTAAGGGAAAACAGACGAAATATGTAAAAATTAAGTTGGTAGAGGGTGATTTTGATAATATTGAATAATATCCAATTAAAATTTACAAAGATCGATCCATTTTAATCGGAAGATGAAATTAAATGCGTATTACAATTCGAATAAAGCCACATCACAATTTTATAATTGGAATAATTTAGATAAATTCTCAAATAATAAGTTGGTTTCACGCTAGTTCTTTTAAAGTAAATTTGTGCATAACATTTAGATATCTACTATTTGTATGTTTCACAGCATGCTTTCGATAAACCTCGACTTCACTTAACTGCGGTTGTTCTGGCTATTTCACACAATTAACAAGAAAATTATACCTTATTCTTTTGCATATCATGCAATGAAAATAAAAATTACTTAAACGGATGATCAAACTTGACATTATTTAATAAAAATGTAATTTTTCCAAAATATCGCAAAGAAAAATCGATACATTTTCACAATCGTTTTGCTATATCGTAAACTAACTGCCGTCCATAAATTGGAGCGCTAAGCGTTGCGTTATCCATTGTCGACGAGTGTCAGCGCGCGCTGTCCCCAAATCAACGCGTCGTAATTTTTGACGTTTTCTCAGATCCTCTCGTTTTTATTCTCGTTTCCTCTTTCACTTTTTTGTCCTTTCTCTTTCTTTCCGTCTTCCGCATCCAACTTCAACACGTAACGCCCTGTCAAAAATGAAAATTCCATTTGCTCGGCGTTAGCGCCGCGTTATTGTTCATATTCATACAAATTGTATGGGCATGAGGATTTTTGACAGTTGTTTGGCGCTTGACGCGCCAATTTAGGGATGGCAGTTACTGTTGAACTACTTAGTAGAAGTCTGAAATGCGACATGAATAGAGGTAAATTTTAAGTTGGTACTTAAATTTAAGTTGGAACTTTGTTAGTTTCGACTTAGTTGCTGGGCTATGAATACGCGCCATTCATTATTGTGTGAGTAGTCAGCTTTGATGATTCTTTTCGATTATTTTCAAAATTAATCGGTTAATCGCTCGATTAATCGAAAGGAAGATTTCGATACAATTGAATCGTTAACCGAATGAAAATAGTCGCTTATTATCGGTTATTCGATTAATCATTCCACTACTAGTTTTCCCCGCGCACTTTGCAGAATTGTTTGTCAATCGTCTATTGTTTAGTTCATCAAATATACAATTTTTGTGATGCGTATAACCAAAAATATGCCTATATTATAAAGTATTTAATTGTGAAACAAATTTGGAAAAGGTTAAAAAAATTCAGAATGGCAGATGATCCAGATTTCTTGGTTGCGCTGGAAATGCAAAGGCGGTGGAATGCAGAGCCGAGTATCGATTTGAGTAGTACTGCAAATAGCGATGATAGCGTAAGTTCAATGTTTAAAAAATAATTCAAATTTTACTTTACTTAATTTTTCAGGAACCAGAGATTGTAAACTTCAGCATGCCTCCACCATCAAAGAAACCCTTGCGAATCAAGCGCAGCAATCCCACTTCAAATCAAGACGAGGAGTACTTGAACCGCACACAGAATCTTGTTCATCCTCAATGGGAAGTGTTGGATCCTACTCCAGACATTACTGCGCTGTTTTCGGCCTTCGACGACAAATTCTTCCAAAGTCGCTTGCGATGTGTAACTTTGGAGTGGAGTAAACGTATGTATAGCTGTGCTGGAATATGTTATTCGAGGCGCAATCGTTTTGGAATGGATATAACTATTCGATTAAGCGAACCTCTGCTAAAGTTAAGACCACGCAAAGACTTGGTTGAAACTATGTTGGTTTGTGGTCCAAAATATACACTTGAATTGAATACTGAAACTATTCACTTATAGCACGAAATGATACATGCATACTGTTTTGTCTTGAATATTCGGGAAGGTAACGGTGGTCATGGCCCAAATTTTAAAAAGGTCATGTATGCTATAAATAAAGTGGCGGGCACCAACATAACAGTGAGTATTTTTTGTTTAGCAAAAATCGAACTTTCTTAAATAAATGTTTTTTTTAGGTATACCACACTTTCCACGATGAAGTGGACGTGTATAAACAGCACTGGTGGCGTTGCAATGGAAGCTGTACAAACCGCGCACCATTTTTCGGCTATGTGAAACGTACCTCAAACCGGGCCCCGGGCCCAAACGATCAATGGTGGGCAGCGCATCAGGAGTCCTGCGGAGGCACCTTTATGAAAATCAAGGGTCCAGATAAGCCAAAGAAGCAAAAAACGTCAAAGGATACAAAACCAGCAACCGGCAAGGATTTACGTACATTCTTTCCCACTGTGGATAAAAGGATAAGCTCAACACCCAAATTATCCGATGCAAATAACGTGAGAAGCTTTGAAAATGGCACTACAGGTTTTGGTGGCACTAAAGGTGCGTTTCTTATTTTTTACCCACTCTGTAAGCGCCTGCAAAGCTTTCGTTTTTTTTTATAGGACCAATCAAAACCAACGGTGGCGGTACGCTTCTCTTGAACCCTAAAACCAAGCCACCTCACGCTAAATCAAACGATCGTCAGTCTACCATTGCTTCTGCCTTTCCACCCTCTTCTTATCCAGGTCTATCGAATGATCCATTCAATGTAAAAGCAAGTAATTCCAATAGCTCTCCCTTCAGCCGTACTCCGGCAGGTGGAAACTTGAAAAACGTTGTTGGTTTTGCAAATTTAAATGGTAGTTTTGGCGGCGGGGGTGGTGGCTCCGCTGGTCGAATCAACGGTAGTAAGCCAAATGCAGCTTTTGTAGGTAGTGGTTGCCAAGTGGGAGCCAACCCCACGTCGGGTGTAAGTTCCAAGAATAGTCCTGGAAGAGAGGTGGATCGTAAACAGTTGCGTGAATTGTGGCTAAAACGTTTTGCCAATAATAGTGATAATGGAAATTCTGACTCCTTAGTAAATAACAAAAAAAAATTTGTGCGTAGCTTTGAAAGCGATGCAGAAGCGCCAGCAGGTGAGGGATGAAAACCTTTCAACTCCTAAGAGATTTCAAATCTTTTTTCTTTAAGGTGATGTGAAGCGTAGGCGCCTCTCAAATGAAGTTTCTCCAACACAGAACATTCCTGAAGACAAGCAGAAAAACGACGATTGGCTGGTGCTGGATGACGAGATTATGTTAAGGGAGCCTACAACGGAGACTATTGCGATACTGTCTGACGATGAAAGCGATGAAAATGACAATGCGATGGAGGAGAGTGGTGCTATAGAACAGCCGTCAAAACGTTCCACGCCGCTCACTGCTGATGAACGTCAAAAAGCTATCAAGCAGGAGATTCTCGAAGACACAGCCGATTTGTTGGATGAGGACATCATTCTTATTGATGATGAGTATGACGACAATGCGCAAGAGAGTAACGATTTGCAGAATATATCAGCTGCTGCCGAATTAGCCGACACATCGATGATAGATGAGTTCTTTGGCGACGATACAATGATGAAGGATTTCAACCGTGAGAATGATGTTAAACCGTCTGGGTCTCGTCATTTCCCCAATCCAAATGATGATATAATTACATGTCCTATTTGTCAAGGAAAAATGAAACGTTGTTTATTCGCCGACCACATGGATGGATGTACTGGTATTGCCATTAAAGTCGCTTTCCCCAAACATACACTCAAAAAACTAGCGGCTACATCACGCCCAGTAAAACCAACTGCCAAATCACGTCCCTCTCGTAAGGAAATCCTACGTAATGCCGGATATTCCGAACAGGATTTAATCAATCTTACATCAGCGAGCGAAGAAGAACTTTCCAGTTGCAACACCTCTCCACCTCGTCCCAATGGCAATTCAACGTCCAACGAATGGAGTCCAGAAGATATGGAAACCAGGTTGTATCGTCAGAGAAATATTCTGAAAAGCACTATTCAGTGTCCTAATTGTGGGCAGGAGGTTGAGCAAAACACAATCAACGATCACCTGGATGATTGCCTTTCCCAGTAAATTAGTTAGATTTTCAATATATTAAAAAAAAATCAAACTTTTTATATTACATGGTTTGTTTAAGTTGATCACAATCGCACGTACACTCTTGTTAAAGCTCAGCCTTAGCCGTTTCATAAAATATATGACTTTTGATCACATAATTTTTCCGAAGTATTTGACGTTGTTGGCGTTTTTGTAACTTTCGGCTAGCGCTGGCCATTGTACAACTAGTAAATCAAGGATCGGACGAAGCAATTTTGCGCTGAGCGATAGTGTACGAACCCGGCACCAACTTTCCACATATACGATCTTTGTTTTAGAAGACAGGCGCCCAAGTTTTTTCCACAGGAACACAGCAATGCAAAATGGCAGACAAGTACCCGGACCATTGCACAGTAATAGCTTTGGTTGGTCATACCACACTAGCCAGAAACTACACAATAGTGCCCAAAGTGTTGTGAACACACTACTCAAGTAACTCTGACCAACCTTCCGACTACGAGGTACATAGATAAATGAAGTATCATCCAGTGCTACACCAACTTTTTGCATGACGCCCGTGATTCTGCTTCGTGAGGTTGTATCATCATTGGCGATAACATATCGTAGAGGATTGTAAATTTCCTTTCCGCTGTCAGTTCGTAAAAGGGCCATATTTATAGTACACATCTCGGCAGTATGACCACCGGATCCAAGAACAATGTAAACGGGAAAATTATCCAAGTTTTTTGTTGGAGCCATTTCCATAACCTGATTGGTTTTAGTTCACCTTCCGGTGTAAATAAAACAAAACGGTGACCACTTAATCAGCTGGCTCAATTGTGAATTAATGCGGCAAACTTAGAGATGGGATTTTTTTAATCCTGATAAGCGACGTCAGCATTTTTGAAATAGAGCCCATTGATCGCGCATATCCTTTTTAAACGCCTCTAGGTTACGGGAAAAGTAATTAAAAATGTATGCATAAGTCATGATAGTTTTTTTTTTATTAAGGAAATCTGAATAACCGGTCGGAAATGCACATCTCTATGCAAAGTGTTCACAGACGTCCGCGGTCATTCTAAGTTCCATAGGACTTCAGTTTTTATCATGACGACGCTTCTATACGCTGATCCGGATTTGATATTTGCTTTGAATAGAAAAGTTATATTTGTAAATCCAAATGACTTGCAAATATTTAAAGAGATCGAGTTGCCTGCTGATTTAAGGGACTTGGGACTTAAAACCCCTAAAAGTTCCGAAGAAGAAGCTGCAACTAGGAGTGAGCAATCGAAAACATCGAAGAAGCCGAAAGAAGTTAACATTGAGGAGCCTAGCATACTGCATGTGAAACTATCGCCCGATAGACAGCTGTGTGCAGTAACCACATCTGGACAAAAAGCCGTCCTTCTGTACCAATGTCGGCCTGAACACGCTAAGCTTATCTCAGTTCGTCCACTGGCACGTGCTTCCAGCGCTCTTACATTCAATAAAGATTCAAATATTCTTCTAGTGACAGACAAGTCAGGCGACTGCTATAAATATGATTGTGTAGAATTGGAAGATGAACCGCGTCTTTTACTCGGCCATCTTAGTATAGTGTACGATGTTCTATGGACTCCAGATAACAAATATATTATCACCTGCGACAGGGATGATAAAATTCGTGTAACAAACTATCCTGCAACGCATGATATACACGGTTATTGTTTGGGACATAAGGAATTTGTTTCTGGACTTGCTTTATTAGATAAAGATACAATTGTATCTGTATCTGGGGACAAAACCTTGCGTATATGGGATTTTATTACTGGTCGGGAGTTGTCTAAGATGGAACTACCAGCACCTGCTTTACGTATTTGTTTGCGTTCTATTGATAAAGAAACATTCCAGGCTGCAGTTGTACTCTACCAACCCGATGAATGCATTGGTATTTATGAGATTAGGAAACCCGACGCTGAAGAATGGAAAATAACAGAACAAAAAGTACTTAAATTTCCAAAAGTGATTATTAGCAATATATGCTTTGTGGGTGAAAAACTGTATGCCGCCGGTGTTGTTGAGGACCGATTTACCCTTAAAATATCCACGTTATCGGAGAAAGCACCACAGGCAGCGGAAGAGTGGATTACGATGATAGAAGAGCAATTTAAAACCGATGAATGGAAGCCTGAGGATGTATCGGCGTGGTTCAAAAAGCGGTATGACAACGTCAGCGATTATTTGGAACGTAAGAAAAGACGGCTCGAAGAAAAACAAAAATAGTGAAATACATACATACGTGGATCATGATGCATCATGTACGTGTAATAGATACAAAATTGAAATGTAAATAAAGTTTATATTGTAGCTCTAGTAATTTTGTCGCAAATTAGTTTTTATTTTAAATTAAACCGGCTTATAATCCAATTTACTTTCCAATTTCTTATTGTCAGCTACCTTGCGCACAGCTTTCATGAAGTCCTCTTGGATGACATATTCCCGGTCAGCTCTAGTTTTTGAGAGAAATATTCAATAAAAACAAAATATAGCAGCAATTACGTTTGTTATTACCTAATAGCGAAAAGACCGGCTTCGGTGCAAACATTTCTTAAATCAGCACCGTTGAAGTTGTCTGACAATTTTACAATAGCTTCATAGTCGATTTCTCCATGCTTTGCAATTTTGGCTGCATGAATCTTTAGGATCTCCATTCTGCGGAATATGAAAATATGTTAAAATTTGAAATATCAAGACAACAAATGTGTAGTATGTATGTACATACAAATGTTACTTACCGCGCTTGCTCATTGGGCAGTGGTATTTCAATTTTTCGATCCAAACGACCTGGACGCAAAAGGGCTGGATCTAGAGTATCTGGCCTATTCGTAGCCATAATCATTTTCACTTGACCGAGCGAGTCAAAACCGTCCATTTGGTTAAGCAGCTCCATAAGTGTGCGCTGAATTTCGCGATCTGCTGATGTGCCCTCAGAGAAACGGCGGCCACCGATGGCGTCAATTTCATCCATGAAAATAATGCAGGGCTGATGATCCCGAGCATAGTTGAACATCTCACGGATGAGACGTGCACTCTCGCCAATATATTTGTCAACAATTGCTGATGAAACCACTTTCAAAAAATTGGCATCTAGTTGCGAAGCTACGGCTCTAGCTAATAAAGTTTTTCCGGTACCAGGTGGTCCATACAACAGACAACCTTTTGGCGGTGTGATGCCTACACGCAGAAACAGCTCGGGATTTAGTAGTGGGAGTTCTATGACTTCACGCAATTCCCGAATCTGTTCAGAAAGACCGCCAATAGCTGAATATTTCACTTCACCAGGATCTTCGTGGGACATATTGTAAACAAGTGGATCGACCTCGCGTGGCAAATATCTCATAATAGTAAGAGTGGTCATATCGAGAGCAACACGAGTACCCGATTTTAACTTGGTTTTATCCAATTGCCGCCGACAGCCTACCACATATCGGGGACCATTTGTGGCTTTCACAATGACTTAATTGAAAAAATACAGAAATAATTAATGGAATTATTTTTAGACGCACATTACTTACACTTATCTTCGGTCAATTGTTTGAGAACTTCTCCAACAATTTGCCCAACACTTTGTAGTGCTTTAAGATCATTTTCGGATTTATCATACTGTTTAGTAAGCTCTTTGATTTCCTCGCGTTCTAACAAATTCCATTATAAGTAGTTAGTTTCAATCAAGTTTACAAATACAAACTGATAGAAGCATGTACTCACTTTCCTTCAGACGAGACTCTACCTCCTTATGTTCTAGAAGCTTTTTCCTGTATTCCACAAGAGCCTTTTCACGAACACCCTCTGCTGGCACACCTCCAGTAGTCATAATGAATTAATTTAGTTCCTTTAATTAAATTTAAAAACTTTTAATTATTTTTTCCTTTATATCAGTGATTTTGCTATTTTACGGGGGTGCTTCTTCTTCTAATTGGTTGACGTTCGCAATTTTAATTTGGTCCCAAACCGATTCCGGTAGTGCATTTGGTCCCAAACCGATTCCGGCATTGCAGTAAGCTGCCATATTTGTTAAGAAATAATACATTTGCAGTTCATAATTATAGTACATGTTTGTATATTCGTATTGTTTTCTAACCACTAATACTATATATATCATGATAATCATAACGTAACAATAGACTCATACAAACTTCGAAATTGTCTAAAATCGTTTGTACTATATAATTTAAGATATTTGCTTATTTTTACATCACTTTCTACCACGTTCTTACATACATCTCTGTTCTTACCGCTTATGCAATATTTGACAGTTCTTGATAGCTCTATTTTTTGCTAATTGACCTGTTGTACACCAGGTGGACGATATAAAAATTGTATATTGGAATCTGTAGAATCATACAGGTATTTCTCAGCAAAATGGCGAGTTTTCTGCAAGTTCCACGTTCACTGTGCGCTCACAGCCGCAAATATAGTTCCAAAATACAGGATGTAGTGATTGTTTCCGCTGCCCGCACTCCAATAGGAAGTTTTCAGAGTCAGTTAGCTCCCCTATCGGCAACGCAATTAGGAGCAGTAGCAGTTGAAGCTGCAGTACAGCGCTCTGGAATCAGTAAAGATCAAGTTGATGAGGTGATTATGGGCAATGTGGTGTCTGCGGGTTTGGGCCAAGCACCAGCTCGTCAGGCAGCAATTTTCGCCGGCCTACCCAAAAATGTATGTTGCACGACAGTGAATAAAGTCTGCTCTTCGGGAATGAAGGCCGTCATGCTGGGCGCACAGTCGCTGATGTTGGGTCAGGCAGAAATTGTGGTCGCAGGTGGAATGGAGTCAATGTCGAATGCACCGTATTACATGAAACGAGGCCCCACTCCGTATGGAGGCATTCAACTCATTGATGGTATTGTATTTGATGGCCTCACCGATGTATACAACAAGTTCCATATGGGTAACTGCGCTGAAAATACAGCGAAAAAAATGGGTATAAGTCGCCAGGAGCAAGACGAATTTGCCATACAATCGTATAAACGCTCAGCCAAAGCATGGACTGACAAGGTTTTTGATGCTGAAATCGCTCCTGTAAAGATACAACTGAAACGCAAACCAGAAGTTGTTGTCTCTGAAGACGAGGAGTACAAGCGCGTCAATTTCGATAAATTTGGGCAGCTAGCTACCGTTTTTCAGAGAGAGAATGGCACTGTCACAGCGGGAAATGCTTCGACCTTGAATGACGGTGGAGCTGCCACTGTGCTTATGACCGCAGAGGCAGCAGACCGTTTGAAACTGAAGCCTCTTGCGCGTATTGTTGCCTTCCAAGATGCCGAAACTGATCCAATTGATTTTCCGATCGCACCTGCATTTGCAGTGCCCAAGTTATTGCAGCGAGCCGGTGTTAATAAGCAAGATGTGGCAATTTGGGAAATAAATGAAGCCTTTTCTTTGGTTGTATTGGCTAATATAAAGAAACTGGATGTAGACCCGGCTAAGGTAAACATACATGGCGGTGCTGTATCCATTGGCCATCCAATCGGCATGTCTGGTGCGCGTTTGGTAACACACTTGTCACATGCACTGAAACCCGGGGAACTTGGATGCGCTTCAATATGTAACGGTGGTGGCGGTGCGTCTTCCATTCTAATACAAAAATTATAAATGGAAATGGGAAAAGATATATGTATGTAAATTATAGGAAAAAACCAGATGTGCATTTATTTTTATACATTTTTATTGGAAACTCGTTTTAAGTATAAAGCTGTTAAAACATACATACATACATACATATCATGGTACATAAAATAAATTTTAAATTCTGTTACATAAGTACATAGGTTTTGGAAATTAGAAATCGTCACCTTAGGTGTACCTACTTTAATGTATTCTACCAAAATCTTGAAAAAAATGCATTGCAAATTAAACTTTTAAACTCTTGATGCCGTCAATATTACGGAACATTGCTGGATAAAACGGAATCGGAATTTTGTTCGCATTCAATTAAAGTCGGCAAATGTCATTTGGGAGGTTCCATGAGAAACTGAACCTTGGTGCAAAAATTATTTTTTTGGATAAAACTAGCGAACGTGTGGATAAGATTTGTAACGATCTTGAATCAACAATAGCCCAGTAAAATTAGATAAATTTGGTACGCAAAACAAAAAAAATTGTAACAGTGATTTATTGATGCAGTTTACTTCTATTTGATCATGGTTCCAAAATCTTACCTCCAAATTTCATTTGGCAACATTCCGCAATCTTGGGTGTTTAGTTTTTTCGAGTTTTTCGAGATTTAATACAAATTTGTAGAGAATTTATTTTGCCACATTTGTTATATAGAAGGTTAAATAAAAAAGGATATAGTTTAAAAAACTAACAACTCGTTCGTATAATTTCTATTTGTACTGTCAACAGGTATGTAACTTGAGAATGGAAATCGCTGCATCTTTTAGGCGCATCAATGGGTTTGTTCCACACGAGCCCGCGGAATTCCGTGGGTGCCTGAGCAGAATAAACAAAGATGTTCTCAACGAATGCCCGGCATGCCGAGAGTCGCCCCATGACTCACAGCACCTCTTCGTATGCCCTCTGAATCCCACCTTACTAACGCCGCTGCCCCTATGGACAGACCCCGTCGAGGCTGCACACTTGCTGGGGCTACCGCTAGTAAAGCTTGATGACAACGATTGAGGGACTAACCGAACGGGGCGGGGTTTTTGCAGCCGCTACAACAACAACAACATTCCGTGGGTGCCCAAAACAGCACAGAAAGCGTTCCTCCCGCTAAAAAAAATGGGTAATAGAGAGCGAATACGTTCCACTTTTGGGTCGTAAATGTTTTCTTCTTTGTGCACGAAACAGCCCGGACTTTTTTCCGGGCACAAATGTGCAAAAGGGCAATTTGAAATAGTGTGGAAGGTACCACAGAATTTTCAGAAAATGTAATTATTTGATAGTTTTATTAGCCGTATAAGATAAATAAACGTAAAATTATTGTTTAGAGCTGATTTGTTGATTCCGGGCACGAAATATGCTTTTTTGTATGAAAAATGAGCAAGAAAGAAAATTACTCATACGCCACGTACACCTCAGTAACATGCCTTCCTGCTCATTTTTCATACAAAAAATATTTGCGTACTTTCATTTGACCACTCATTACTTCTTTATTTATCCCTCGTTTTCCTTCATTAGTAACTTGATTTTTTTTTTTGTAACAGAACAAGCTTTAGCACAAATGCAAAAATTTGGCACAGAACTTGTAATTTTTAAAATTTTTCTTCTGTTAAAGCTAGTTTTTTATTCATTAAAAAATAAAAAAAACTGGAATTATTAATTAATTTGTCAGAAACTATTATTCCTATCGGAAAGTGATGTATATATGGTTTATGGAGAATTTTATTAGCTTTGATTTGAGGTATCTCATTTTATGATTGTTAATGATTGTTTTCGTAAGATATACGTGATTAAGTGGAACCACCTCTTGTTTTAAGCTGGATAACGGTAAATTGCAAATATCTCCAAAACGTATCCATAGAAAAGTAAATCAACTCGATTTTCGGAATCACCGAGCAATTCCACATAGAAATTGGATAGTGGCGTCTGGAGAAAAAAAAACCAATCTATAATTTGTGATCCAGTGTAGTTAGTGAATCGTACTACTGGGTAGAGCTTAACTGCCCCACTGTACTGATGTTCTCTTTTGAAGACGGTATGCGATATGTATATTCCTATAATAGTTTGCTGACCTTTCGCTAGTTTTTTAAATGCATGCCTAAAACGGTTTGTACGTGTTGATCTTGTCACGCAAATTTGGTGACCTAAAGTTCTAGGTCGCCTCCGAACGGCAAATGGTTTTTATGAGAAGCGATTTCATGGCACACTTAAATAAAATTTGAAAATTGATTGAAATGGTATGGTAAAGGGGACAATGGCTGTCTTAGAGGGATCAATCTTAAGAACCTCAGCAAAGTACCTTTTCGCTAGACTATGTCCCCTTTGGACTATGTCTCAGAGGGAACTCGCGAGCTTCCGCCCAGAAATAATTATTAGCTCAACTAGATTCCACTGGAGAGGAGATGTAACTCCTGCGTGAGGGCAACCTTTTGTTGTTTAGAGTTGTACTACGCTGTCGCCGACTTCGATTTTAGCAATCCTAGTATTTAGCAGCCTAGCTATCCATCTGCGGATGGTAGTGCCCGATCGACGCCCAAATGAGATGCGCATTTGAAAGTCCTCTCTATGTCAAGGAAGGCACAGAGCACTGCCTCTCCACACAGAAAGGCACTCTTTATATCCGTGTTCAGGGAATACAGCGCGGTGTTCGTGGATCTTCCCACTCGGTACGCGAGCTGATCGAGATGCAGAGGTTTCTCTTTTATAATGTTAGACCAGATTTCATGGTCGATAACTCTCTCCATTCCTTACAGCATAAAGAGCTCTCCGCCCTGCTTCAGCAACACGGGACTGATGCCAAACACCGCGGTGGCCTTGTACCGTTAAAAATAGTCCGGCGCCAATCGCTTTCCTGAGAGCTCCCGTCACCTCCAAGTAGGCTGAAACCTTCCTGCCTGTCGTCTTATGTCGCCACACTATTACCGTGACAAAGCTAAAAAGATAACTGACGTTGCAGCCAACCCTATTAATCCTGACATACGACTCGTCACCTATGCCCGTTTTGCGCGGGACCGTTCTCCTCGGTTCTGCAGGATATCACCTTCCATGTGGAGTAATGGATACTCTGGTTCGAGTCTGTAGCAACTCCAGTATGACCTCGGCTGATTTATCAGCGCTCCTCGGAAGGAACACCGTTATCTTGCACCGGAAGGATATCATCCCCTATTTTGGTGCACATTGCTGGCCCTTCCAACCCGAAAAACTCGGAACCTTCCTTTACATATGTACCTCTTCTATAATGACGTCCTGGAGGCAGGTCCGAGCTCAGGGAAACATCACCGTATTCACAAGGCAGCGCATCCACGCGAATGTCTTAAAGAGCTTTCAAGTAGGTGGGCTGCTAAGTGGCTCCCTCATGTGCGTGTCCCTGGCTGGGAGTCGTACCCATGTTTCTGGACCATGATCTCGGACGGGGTGGTTGCTCCCGCTGTAGCTTCTTGGTGGGTTACTCTGGTGGCTTGATCTGCCTGCTGCTCCACTTTGAAGCCGATGCTTCACCATTGTTCGTACCTGTTGGTTCATCGCTTCTCCGGCATCGGCGTGCGTGTGCACTGTTTCTCGCTTCTCAGCCAGGCTCGACTCTTTTGTTGATACTATTGTTTCCCGCTTCTCTGCCTGTCAGTAGACGTGGGTTCTGGAAACTTCCTCGCCTCTTCGCTTGCGATTTTCACACGCACGCTGTTCTTTTTCGACATCTGCTCGAACTCTTGCCATGACAAAGCTTCGCCTGGAATCTTCCCTTACTACAGCTAGTGCAGGTACTACGTGGAAGGAGTAGTGGCGGTGGTCCGCACCTGTACTGCTTCGTTTTCTGCACCTGCCACTCGGGTTAATTCGAAGCAGATGAGTTACTGCGGGATCTGCGATGTCTTCCAGAGGCCCTTCGCGGTGACTGCTAATGAGGTGGGTTGCGCGGAAGCTGCAAGAGCGGCAGCATTTTCCTAGAACAGGACAGGAATGAATGATGATTTAGCTAAGCCCACATACCAAAGGAAATGTGCCTTTTCTAGCGAGGTTATGTCATGAAATAGTCCTGTCAGTTGAGCTACATAGCGGCGTTATAAGTTTATAGACCACAGGATATTTTCAAGTAACTAACCATTTATTAATAAATAAACTGAATTCTCAAAAATACATATAAGCAACACCTTTCGAATGAATTAAAACCCTAACCCATTTTACCTTCATACCTGGCATTTATTTCCATTTAGACATAGGACAAGCTTTACAATTTGTATCGCGAATTTAAAGCTTTGAAAATATTTTTTCTAATTGAATACATCGCTTTGATAATATCTCTAAGAAGAAAATGATGAACGCTACGGTCAGACCGCACGTTCCGATTATAATCAGTACGTAGAGTTCCTTAGCTTGCTGCATATCATCCTCCCCAAATCCGCTCAGATCCTTTTTATCATCGTACAACTCCCAGCGAGCCCAGGCATCAATGAGACCAGCCGCTTGCACCCACAAAATCTGATTCTGGAACTCATCGATAAGGTAAGAGTGTTTCGTCAGATATATTGTGGTGTGCAAGTTTAAAACTTTCTGTTTTAATATTTTAAAAAATGCATGCTTTTTCTCGGCGTGCATATAGTTGTAGAGAAAGTCAGAAGGTCCAATGAAGGCGACATTACGACGTGACTCCTTTAGAATATATTCAAAAAAAATCAACTGCCCTTTCCAGATTACGTCATTTCAATTTCAAGAGAAATGGTACATCTTTCAAAGTTTCATATGTGATGCTGTTTAAGACAACAGTATAACCCTTGTCGGCTAATTCATCGAAGTCTTCTGGAATATGTTGAGTGGCTCGTGTCCGTATAACATGAAAGATCAAAGACTGGTACACAGCGCGCAAGATCAATGCGAAAAACAACCAAGTGGCCCAGAAGAGTCGCGGACGAAAATGTGCAGTG